AGAGGACTCTCGCCGCCACGCATATAAAGGATTTATAGTGAAAAACTTTGTTTTTACGGGTTATACTTGTTAAATCCTTTATATTAAGTTCGCTTGCTTGCTTGCTTGCGTGCTTGCGTGCTTGCTTGCTTGCTTACGACCGTGCAAATATTTCGGTCGTTTTTTAACCCACTTCCCGTGATCCAATCGAGCTGACATTTTGCACACAGACTCGTTGTGCGAGACAATTAATGTTCGTGAAAAAAACTTTCCAAAATTTTACACTGTTTAGGGAAAGCAAATTAAATATTTAATTACCAATTGCTTAATACTGGCAGACAATCATCTGACCCATAGGTGGCAGCCATCCCAAGCCAGAGGACGAGAAGACTCTAGCCGCCACGCATATAAAGGATTTATAGTGAAAAACTTTGTTTTTACGGGTTATACTTGTTATGAGCTCAGAAGAAATGGCCATTGACTCAAATTCGTCGTCGATTTGATATACATTGCCCCCCCTTTTAAAGCCACACACACAGTGTTACTATTGACGAGGGTGCTGACATATTGTTAGTTGTGCCACTGCCAACGCAGCAAAGACGGTGGTGGGCCAACCGCATAGACGCGCGGCGCTTTTAGGACGCGTTGCTTCCGCGGCCGTCTGGAACGCTCTCTTCCCTTCCGATACCAGGAAGCCACTTGGAGCTGTGCAATTTTAGATCATCTCGATGAGTGGTTCTTGACCCTTCACTGCAGCATTGCACCCCAATGGTTTGTCAGTCGTTGAAACAGATGCGACAATTTAAATTTTGATTTAAAGCTTTCGCGACTGCAGGGATTCATATTCTTGGTTCTTTCAGTAAAGTCACGTAGAAGGGAAATAATAAAATAATATGAATATAAAATAATAAAAATTCTCACGACGTTTCGACTGATGATTGCTGCTTGTGTTGCAGTCGAAACGTCGTGAGAATTTTTATTGTTTTATATTAATATTATTTATTATTTCCCTTCTACGTGGCTTTACCGAAAGAACCAAGAATAAGATGCGACAATGTTAATAGCTGCACAGCGGGTTTGATGAAACCAACTTAAGTTGCTCCTTACGTTGCCCCGTGCTTAATTTGTGTTTTCGACGATTTACCTTCTAAACAAAATAAAATCTGGCCACGTCTCGCATCCCCAGCAAGGGCATCTGGCTCCCCCAGTGGGTGTGTGATGCACCCCAGGCCAAGAATCACTGCAGTCCCAGATTGACAAACTAATTTCTTGACATACTCTTAGGTTTTTTTCGGTAAAGTCACGTAGGTAAAACATAAAATTAAAATTAAAGTAATAATAGAAATAAAATAAAATAATAAATCAGTAAATCAAAGTTGTGATTTATTATTTTATTTTATTTCTATTATTATTTTTATTAATTTTATTTTTTACCTACGTGACTTTACCGAAAAAAACCTAAGAGTATGATTCCTTCCAGTCACGAAAGCTTCAAATCTAGAATTAATTTCTTGACGACTGCCTTTTTTTTTGCTTTCAGTTTAATGCCCTTCGTCCGCACCTCCGATTATCGACGGTTGGACTACGTACGGCGGTGCGGAATAACTTCAACATACACACAGCAGCAGCAGCAGCACCCACCACCAGCACTGATATTGTGTTCACATAAGTATCGCAAAGTGACAAGCGCATGCGTGACCAGACAGCAGGAGAGGCAGACCAAACGGGGGGTGGGGGGGGTGATGTGGCTCGCTTTTCAATGGCCCAGTAAAACAACAACACACTAAAGCACATGCACAAACACGCCAACCACCACCACCCACCCATCCAGCCCCGCGATAATAATTCAGAGCCAAAGGGTCAAATCACTCCTCGACAGTGGAGGGCGACTTCGTTTTGCTCGCCAGGGCCTCTTCCCTCTCTGTCCGGGCAGAGAGCGGGGCCCCAATGGCCGGTTTATCAGGCCTGTCCTTGAGGCGACAGCCTACGCCTTGCATGAATAGGCCTCCTGTTACAAGGCGGTGGAATCTCTGTGTTGGCACTGCCCTCAGGCCTGTCCGTGAGGCAACAGCCTAAATCTTGTAGGAGTAGGCCTACTCCTCCATCTATAATGCGGTGGACACTCTGTGTTGGCACTGCCCTCAGGCCTGTCTGTGAGGCCGTCAATGGCCTCATCTTGTAGGAGTAGACCTCCATCTATAACGCGGTAGACACTCTGTGTTGGCACTACCCTCAGGCCTGTCCGTGAGGCAACAGCCTCGCCTTGTAGGAGTAGACCTCCTCCATCTATAACGTGGTGGACACTCTGAGTTGGCACTGCTCTTAGGCATGTCCAGAAGGCCGTCAATGGCCTCATCTTATAGGAGTAGGCCTACTCCTCCATCTATAACGTGGTGGAATCTCTGTGTTGGCACTGCCCTCAGGCCTGTCCGTGAGGCGACAGCCTCATCTTGCAGGAGTAGGCCTACTCCTCCATCTATAACGTGGTGGACACTCTGAGTTGCCACTGCCCTCAAGCCTGTCCGTGAGGCGACAGCCTCATCTTGTAGGAGTAGGCCTACTCCTCCTCCATCTATAAGGCGGTGGACACCCTGAGTTGGCACTGCCCTCAGCCCTGTCCGTGAGGCGACAGCCTCGCCTTGTAGGAGTAGACCTCCTCCTCCTCCATCTATAACGCGATGGACACTCTGTGTTGCCACTGCCCTCAGGTCTGGAGTCAATGAGACGGCATCCTAACCCAGCAGGAAGCCTCCTGCTATAAGGCGGTGGTGCGTGGTGGACTATTTGTGTCGGCACTGCCCGCAGTTATGTCGTGAGGGTGGCGGCCTGACTTCGTAGGAGGAGGCCTGCTCCTGCTATAACGCGGTCGAAGAGGCCTCCTGCTACAATGCAGTGGAACGCGCTGGGCGTTTTGTGTTGGCACTACCCTCAGATCTGTCGTCAATGAGGTGACGGCCTAACATCCTTCTGCTATAACCCGGTGGACTCTTTTCATTGGCACCGCTCGCAGATCTGCCGTGAGCTAGGCGGCCTAACCCCCTTGCAGGAGGCATCATCTTGCTGTCACGTGGTGGAGTCTTTTTATTATTACACGCTTTCTATTAACTCACTCTGTCTGTTGTTGTTGTCGTTGTTGTATCCTCAAATCTTGTAACTCAATTTTAACCCACTTCCCAATGTGTTATCGACTGCAAATTTGGTATACTTATGTCATACTGATGACAATACTATATTCTATCATTACAAATAAAAAACATATTTTTAAACCATCTTTTTTATATGTTATGTTTTATTACACGCTTTCTATTAACTCACTCTGTCTGTTGTTGTTGTATCCTCAAATCTTGTAACTCAATTTTAACACACTTCCCAATGTGTTATCGACTGCAAATTTGGTATACTTATGTCATACTGATGACAATACTATATTCTATCATTACAAATAAAAAAATATTTGTAAACAATCTTTTGTATATGTTCTGTTTCGGCTTGGCTCTAATTGTCCGCGCTCAACTGACGTTGTCTGTAAATCACCACAGTCCCTTAAGTTGTGGCAAGCTTCGGGCCCACTTCCTGGAGTCGTGGAGTTCTTCCATTACTCGTACGGTACATTTCATTAAAGCGTGTTTTTTAAAAAAGTTTTTTTTAAAAATATTACTTCTTGTTCGCACTGCCCAGCAGGCATGCCATGAGGCGCAGGCCTCAACTTGCAGGTTGGGGCCTCATCCTTCTATAACGCGGCGAGGCCCTCTGTAAACTCACACGTTTCTCACGACGATTCGATTCTATCCTTGCGTACGGCAATACAATACTGCATATCCGATCACGGTGTTGATGATCTTGTGCTTTATTTATAGAGCGCCTTGAAGGCGCTTAACATAATTTAACACAGACGGTATATACAAACAAACAATATCGACGGCAGGGTCGTGCAGCGGACGAGAAACGGGTGATCAAGATGTAGAGGTTCAATAGGGGTGAGGGTAGGGGAACAGTGGAGGGGGGAAGGAAGAGGAGGAGGAATGGACAGTGGAGAAGAAGTTTGAGGCTTTAAGACAGGAACGTAAGGAGGTTAAGGAAGGGAGGGAGGGGGGGTGGGCGGCATAATGTGATGAAGATGAGTGGATGATAGGGGCCAGCCTCATAGCAGCAAACATGCTCAGCTTGGGTTACTCTCGAGGAGCAAATATCGGCCACCCCCACGTGCCCACATCCCTCCCAAGTGCCCCCCACGCGTACCACGTGGACAAATCGTTGGTCAATTAATCCCCCATGATCCACGTGGCATGGGCAGGCCGTCGCTCAGCAGCGGATTGACACAAATGGCTGTACGAGTGGCTGTCCACGACAAAACGTTTCTCTTTGGGCGAGATCGCGTGAATAGAAATGTGTCGCTAATCCGCCACCACCCGACACAGCCAATTATGGTTGTAACGTAAACGAAACGTGCCCAATGCGTTACTACTTCCTCGCGTGGGATATTGCTATCTTTGGGCTATTGCATTCTACGAACAAAACGGGCATTTTGTACAAAAGAAAAAGGTAACGAATCTGAACAGTGTCAGTAATGGAGGCCTCGCCTTGTCCACATGAGCAGTAATCACGCGAACTCAAGTCATCCTCGCAGCAGCAAGCGGCCTTTGGCTGAGCCATCGAAAAAAGACGGTCACCGCTTCGCACGGCGCTTTCAGATGCGCTTCTGCGTCCATCTGCAATGCTCTTCCGATGTTCGGCAGTCACCGGGAGATATTCTCTTTTAAATCTCGTTTGTTGTCCTTCCCCCGCACCTCAAATTATCATGGTTGGCTACGTACGGTGCGAAAGAAATTCAACTCACATGCACAACGACTGCCGATTCCCCCGCCGTGGCACTTGCCGCAATAGCTGTCCAACATCAAACAACGAGGAACTGAGGAATTGGTGGATATCTGAACACACTGCCGCCACCCACGCACGTGCAAAGCATCTTCAGCCCAAACATCTGAAATTATTATCATCAAATATCCCCCCCCCCCCCCCGCGCGTCGTTCTGTTGATGCCACCGTTCAGGAAATGTATTTCTCAGCTCAAGACACCGTCTCAGTGCTCCCGACTCGTTGATTTACTCACAGCTTGATGCACGGAATTGGAATTATACCTCCGATTCTTGCTGTTGTTTCCTTTGCGTTTCATTCGATGATCGACCGTCAATCCTTTTGGCACGCTCCATCTGCATTACCGCCAGCAAGTCGTTTAAGTTCACGATTGAGCTCAAGTTTTCGTTGTCAGCTTCATTTAAAAACTGTTGATACATGCATAGCAGCCCTAAGAAACCTGCCCACGTAGTTCTCAAGGATATATCTTCATTGTGAACCCAAGTCGTTAGCGGGTACAAATAAAAAAAAATCTGAAAAAAATGTCTGTGAGCACAAGCTTGCATGCTTATATAGAAAAAAATTCAGATCTAAAATATTGACAAATTTGGACTCATTAGAGCCATAAGAACTATGAGTAGGATGTATGTGAATACCATTGGTTTGGTTGATCGAACTGCGAATAATACAATAATCCACGATTATAGCAGCTTCTTTTGCGCCTCCTGGCTTTGCAGCTTTAACTCGGAACTAACGTTTTCCATGATCGCCCTTTGCTCATTACAGATGACTTCTCGCATGGCGCTGCATCTTCGTGTCCACAGTTTCGCTCGAGTCTATTTTTATGCGCCAAGCACATCGTCGGCGCCGTTTGCCGCACGTGCGAAAGCTCCTCTGCGATGAAGATGTGACTTGGCGGGCACTAGGCAATGGGTCCTAGCCCCGTCCGCTCAGAAAGGTTATTGGGGACTTGTCCAGAATCCACCTCCTTGAGGATTGCCACCACGTCAGCCCCGTCGCCCCTGCCGCTCTGCGGGTTGACCTCCGTGGACATTTGCTTGAGAACTTCTTCATCGCCTCCTCCGCCGCCTCCTCCTCCACCTCCTCCGTCGTCATTGGTGTTGAGGCTGGACACGTGCGAGTAGTGGGCCTGGTCCTCGCTGTCCATCTCGCGGTGGTAGAAGTAGTTGAAGTTGGAGACGATCACGGGCACCGGCAGCGCGATCGTGAGCACGCCCGCGATGGCGCACAGCGAGCCCACGATCTTCCCCCCCACGGTCTTGGGCCACATGTCGCCGTAGCCCACCGTGGTCATCGTGACAACGGCCCACCAGAACGCGTGCGGGATGCTCGTGAAGTCCGTTTCGGACTCGTCTGACTCGGCGAAGTAGACGGCGCTCGAGAAGAGGATGACGCCGATGAAGAGGAAGAAGATGAGGAGGCCCAGCTCACGCATGGAGGCGCTCAGGGTCTGGCCCAGGATCTGCAGCCCCTTGGAGTGTCGCGACAGCTTGAAGATCCTGAAGACGCGCACGAGGCGGACTACCCTGAAGATCGCGAGCGACATCGTCTGCTGCCCGTTGCCCTCCTGCTCCGCCAACTCGGTGCCCAGGGTGATGAAGTAGGGCACGATGGCCACGATGTCAATGATGTTCATGATGTCCTTGAAGAAGGCCGGCTTGCTGGGACTTGCGAGAAAGCGCACCGTGAGCTCGAAGCTGAACCACACGATGCAGACGGTCTCGATGATGAAGAATGGGTCCGCGAACGAGCTGCCGGAGGCCTCGTCCTCCGCCTCAGTGCCGTTGACGAATGGCACGGCGAACGAGGCGTTCTCCCTCTCCTCCCGGAACATGGGCAGCGTCTCGACGCAGAAGATGATGATGGAGATGACGATGACGAGCACCGACACGATGGCGATGCCGCGCGCTGGCCCCGAACTCTCGGGGTACTCGAAGAGGAGCCACACGTGGCGCTGGAACTCGTTCGCCGGCATCGGCCTCTCCTCCTCCTTCGCGTAGCCCTCGTCCTCACGGTAGCGCACCATCGCCTCGTCGCCTAGCTCGTAGAACTTGATCTCCTCGGAGAAGATATCGAAGGGGACGCTCGCCGGCCGCCGCAGCCTGCCGCCCGACTGGTAATAGTAGAGGATGGCGTCGAAGCTGGGCCGGTTGCGATCGAAGAAGTACTCGTTGCGCAGCGGGTCGTAGTAGTGCGACCGCCGCTCCGCGTCGCCCAGCAGCGTGTTGGGGAACTGCGCCAACGTGCCCAGCTGCGTCTCGAAGCGCAGCCCGGACACGTTGAACACCACTCGCTCCATGTCATCGTGCTGCTCGCCCGGTCCCTCTCCCGCCCCCCGTCCGCACGCCTCCGCGTCGCCGAGTCGAGCCTCCGTGTCCTCTTCGACGAGAACGCCGATGATACCCTTGGGCGGTAGAGATCCGGACCCCTCCGCCCGAATGCCCATGGACTCGGTCGATTCCAGGCTTTCTTTCCTCTGCTTTCTCCTGCCTGCGCCCGTCCGCCTCTTCCGTTTCTCGTTGCTGTCGTCCCTTTTGTCTTCACCGTCGTCGTCGCCGCCGCTGCTGCCGCTGCTGCTGTGGCTGCTGCTGGACGCGGGGGACGGCGCGGCGAGGGCGGACGCGGCGGCGACGCGCTGGTCCTTGAGGCCGGTCATGCGGGCCGTGCCGACGAAAAGCGCCTGTGCGGTGCGCGGGAGGTGGTGGTGGTGGTGGTGGTGGCGATGTCCATGAGATCCGGAGACGGCCGATTCCATCCTGGATCGATAACGGCGGCGACGGCGGCGGCGGCGGCCGGCGAACTCTCCTGCCTCGCGCAAGTTGATTTTGGGACGCGAAATTGAAATTGAAAGACGTGTCGATGATGAACGAGGCACGGCGGCAGGAGGCGTTGACTGCAGGTTCACCGTCTGCTCCCGCTCAGAGCGTCGAGAGCACTCTGGGCACACTGAGACTCACACGGTAGCGGCTGACTTAACACCCCGAGTTCGGTCCAACAGCACACACGTGTTCCAGCGTCTCATTTACATCCATTCGGGTTTCTCAAAAAGGCTCGGTGGGGGTGCACTTATTTATTCCTTGCCCCCCCCCCCCCCACCCACCCACCACCTTTCCACTTGTGAAAACAAAAATCCGCGAAAAAGACGGCAACACGCCGCTTCTCCACTTCTGTCGCAAACAAGGCCGTGTAGCCCCTTGGCACGCAAGCGCCCTGTCGTCTACAAGCCGTGTCTTCGTGTGTGTGTGTGTGTCCCCGCAACCACCGATCTCATCGCAGGCAGAAACGAACATGATACAGAGAGAGGGGAGAGGGAGAGAGGAGGGGGGGGGGGGACGGAGAAGGTAGGCAGGCATGCGTTCATTAAAAATAACCCTGGCATCAATGACCGTGTTCATCCAGTGCCACAAGGAAAAGTAAGACGACTGGCACGAACCAGAAGCCAGAGGGGTGTTCTTGCAACCCTGAGCCTCCTGCTTACAAAAATATAGCGTGGAATGTATCAGGGTTTCCACATGCAGGGGGCTTGGGGTGGCTGGGGGGGGGTCAGTGGAATTCGTGTAGCTCTCCCTGACCAAGCTCAAAGCATCGCAAGCGAAACGTCGGCGCGGGTTTTTGGACGGCGAAGTCTGGAAGGCGACCACGGTCGGGTCAGTCGCTTGGACACCGTGTGAATCATTCCATCCGAGAGTGTTACTCAACTAGAAACTAAAAACTATATTTCACGTTGCCAGGTAAGGCACCACCACCGAGCTATATACTGCCCTCTCTTTCAGAGAAGCGACCCGGACACGGATGGTAGCCCAACGAAGTGGCAAATCGCGTGGCATTTAAAGGCAGCGGACAAAATCCTCTTAAACGCGTGGTGACGTCGGTTCTAAATGTGGAAGGGAAAAACCGGAGGACCCGGAGAAAAATCCACGTGACTACGGGGAGAGAGAGAGAGAGACACCGCAAGCTCCAAATATACAGCAGCAGGCGTCAGGGTTGGGGATCGAACCCACGACCTATTGTATACCAGGCGAGGTAGTTAACGTCTCATAGCCACCGTGATGATGATGAGAGACACAAACTCCAAATATACAGCAGCAGGCATCAGGGTCGTGATCAAATCCACGACCTCCTGTATACCAGGCGAGGTAGTTAACGTCTCATAGCCACCGTGATGATGATGAGAGACGCAAACTCCAAATATACTACAGCAGCGGGCATCAGGGTCGGGGATCGAACCCACGGCCTCCTGTATATCAGGCGAGGTAGTTAACATCTCCTAGCCACCGTGATGATGATGAGAGACGCAAACTCCAAATATACAGCAGCAGGCGTCAGGGTCGGGGATCGAACCCACGACCTCCTGTGTACCAGGCGAGGTAGTTAACATCTCCTAGCCACCGTGATGATGATGAGAGACGCAAACTCCAAATATACAGCAGCAGGCGTCAGGGTCGGGGATCGAACCCACGACCTCCTGTGTACCAGGCGAGGTAGTTAACATCTCCTAGCCACCGTGATGATGATGAGAGACGCAAACTCCAAATATACAGCAGCGGGCGTCAGGGTCGGGGATCGAACCCACGACTTCCTGTACACCAGGCGAGGTAGATAATATCTCCTAGCCACCGTGATGATGATGATGATGATGAGAGACGCAAACTCCAAATATACAGCAGCGGGCATCAGGGTCGGGGATCGAACCCACGGCCTCCTGTATACCAGGCGAGGTAGTTAACGTCTCATAGCCACCATGATGCCCAAGGGAGGAGGTGGAGCGGGGGGGTACATATCCCGCTCACCCCAACCGCTCACCCTAACCGGATGAGTGGGATATGCTTCTCAGTGGGATACATATCCCATAATCCGAACCGGGTGAGTGGGATCAATATCCCGCTCATCCTCACTGGATGAGAAGCAGGCAGAATAGTCCTCGCCAACTGTGTTTAATAATGATGTACGTTCTTTTTTAAGGGCTACTTGTTGTTGATGAGTGTGCTTGTGCATTGCCTGTCAATGCTGCAGCATCGACACATAATTTATTCAAGCAGATGGATTGTTTGATGATGATTCTAATATATTTAGGATTCGTCGCTTTGCTAATTTTGATTCATATGTAGTTTTTTTCTGACTTTATGTGAACGAAAATACACAAATTCGCCCGTTTTGTCATTGAAAATAGGAGAATTTCTAAATATCACTGTCCTGGTCACAAAAGCAAAGTTTGTGGGGAATAATAGTCGTTTTCTGCACTTTTGAGGCATAAGCAATTAGGAAATAACACTTACTACCCAGGAACAAAAATTTAAAAAAAAGTTTGTTACACAGTGTCATGATGCATTGGCAGTGGTGCACATTTAACAAAACAACCAATTAACACCTTTGTCATTAACACCGCGGCCTTAAAATAAATCATATCGTAGGTGATGTTTGGGGCATTCTTCATAGGGCTGCATGATGCAAGAACAACGAAACAAACCCCGTTTTTACACTATGAGACATCTCCTTTACCAGTGGCAAAATAGAGTAGTAGGTTTTTACCCTTTAAACTGGTACAAAACTGACACCTTTATACAAGGCATCATGTTTGCAATAACCACAACACAAGTAGTCATGCTTACCCCGAGCTCTCAATACTCTGATATAGTGCACTGTTTTTGAGTTGTACGCCTTTTGGTGTAATCTGGTCCAACACCAATGGAGACTTGGCTCTAAGGAAAGCTGTCTCGGGTGTGGACCAATCAACTTCAAGGTCAGTGCATATCATCATCATCAGAGTTGTTTCTTTTTGTTTGCATTTTGACTACTTGTGTTGTGGTTATTGCAAACATGATGCCTTGTATAAAGGTGTCAGTTTTTGTACCAGATGAAAGGGTAAAAACCTACTACTAAACCCCGTTTTAGAGCATCTTAAGCGCAAAAACTCAACGGCAGGGATGGAGCTCCCCACCAAACGTCGAACCCCTTTCAGTACTGCTCCTCCAGTGGGCATCGCTTCTCAAGAGCATCCGTGAGGTCATTTAGGCACTCGCCCTCCCTTGCTTTGCCTTCTCCTGCAGCCAAGGGAGCAGGGTTTGTTGCGATCTCGTTTGAAGCTTTCGTGACTGCAGGGATCCATACTCTTTGGTTCTTTCGGTAAAGACGGTCGCGATCGAAACGTCGTGATCTCTTAATTTCCTATCTTCGTGACTTTACCGAAAGAATCAAAGAGTCAGGTTTGTTACAGTTTATTGAAACGATTTATTGAAACGATTTATTGAAACGATTTATTGAAACGTGCGGTTTAAGACAGGTTTTCATTGCGCTGAAATCCCTCACGTGTGCTTTGTGCTGGTGTCTAAACCCCCAAATTCATATCCCCTGCGGTGCTGTGGGAGCTGAATAGTCTCGCTCAATATTAATAATAATAAAATATTTTTGGGGAGGGGAAAAAAAGACCCCACCGGCGAACAATGTTAATGCTACCCCCATCCCCTCCCTTTGATGCTGCTAATCCTGCATAATGACTTTCAAACTCCATAAATATGCTAAATTCCTCTTGATATGCAAATTCTTTTGTCAAGGCGCTCTTCTTCCACCCCTCCAACCCAGCTTAAATATACGCACCAAGCTTGGTGGTGTTTCATTCTTCACCTGAGGACGGCTGCTTGCGTTGTGGCCGAAACGTCGTGAGAATTATTTGCATTATGTTTTATTTTTATTATTTTATTACTTCCCTTCTACGTGACTTTACCGAAAGAACCAAGAAGATGAAGCCGCGTTGACTGTGAGCCTCGGTAGCTACACTGCACCGATGAGTCCTAAGCGCGACGAAACCTGTCCACAGTTGTCGTTCGGTCAGTGTTAGTGCTCAAACTCAATGTGACGGTGACTCCGAGACCAGGGGTTGGGGGGGGGGGAGATCACGCTCAGGTTGCGAGAACTCTGCTGCCTGCTTCTCATCCGGTTAGGATGAGCTGGACATGTATCCCACTCACCGCGGGAACGCTCGCAAAGCCGCGCGGCATTTATCATCCGAGGGAACACAAAACACTGGTCAACACACTTTTTGTGGCATAAGGTATTCCAACGGTTTTAAGGTGCTGATTCCAAATCTGGCATCTGTTTTTGTCTATCACATCAGGTTTTTGAGATATCAAATATTGCATTTTCAATAAAAACTGCGGAAGAAAAATATTAAATGAATGTGGATATCTACATAAAATGATATTATTAACACACTATCCTAAAAATACAGCACCGTAGTTTAACACTAAAGCAGTCACTGACTCGCAACAACTTGCAATCATAAGTGACAGAGTTAATTTCGGGTAAAATCAATGAAAATGGGGTATGCCGATAGCATAAAAATAAGAAGTGATAGAGCAAATCTGAGATCAGATTTGGAATCGGCATCCTGAAATTAGTCTAAAACAGCTGCAAAAGTCCAGGGCAGAAAAAATGTTTTTTGTTGTTGTTGACCAGTGTTATTGACGGGTAGAGCTGCAAGTTTGATCGCTGAGCCGGGCACTTTAGAACTGTAGCAACAACAATCTTAATTTTGGAGCTTTCGTGACTGCAGGAATTATTCTTTGGTTCTTTCGGTAAAGTCACGTATAAAGATAAAATCAAAAATTAAATAATTGCATACTACTGTCTATAGTTTTCTGGTTAGATTTTTGTTGCTATTTCTTTTATACCTGATGATAATTGCTTGTGTTGCAATCGAAACGTCGTAGTATGCTATTATTTAATTTATTATTTTATCTTTGTAGCAACAACAACAAAACATCGATCGGCTTTTGGTGCATTTGGAGTTACCGTTGTTCTCCAAATGCACCAAAAGCCGATCTCCAAAATTCGCGTGGCCGGTGTCAATGTGGTTCACACAAATGTGGTCTCACAAAGACAAAGATCCCCTGCACCGCATAGCCTCAACCGACTGTTGGGGCGAGTGCCGTTCGCGAGTAGCATCTTCGTGAAGGCCGGCACGGCACACGAGTGTGTGGTGTGGACCAACACCACCCCCGGCCGCCTTTGTCTCC